CCCGTGGAGTATTATTTGGCAATGACAAATCACGAACTTGGAAACACAATGCTAAGTGAAAGGAGTCAGACACAGAGCCTGCACATTATGAGACCCAATTCTCTGGAGATGTGTATATAGAGAAAGAAAGCATAGTGATGGTTTCCCTGGTGGTGCTGCCAGGTATGGGTGTGTTGGACTATTAGCCCCAGGCAGGTTCGGCAGTTCAAACCCACCAGTCAGTCTGAGGGAGAAAGAGGAGGCCATCTGCTCTTGTAAGGTTTATGGTCCCAGAAGCTCTGCATAGGGCTGTGATGTGTTGAAATCAGCTCCTTGGGTGGGTTCCATTTGGGTTTTGTGTGGCTCTGAGGGGAGGGGGCAAGCCACTGATAACGGGATGTTTTTTCAGGGGGTGGGGGGGGTGATGAAAATATTTTGGCAATTGATAGTAATGATAGTTACAAGTTTAAAAACCACAGAAGTGTGCATTTAAAAAGGGTACATTTTATGGCATGTGGATTATATCTCAATAGACAAAGATGACCTTATATTAGATACACCTGATGATTCACTCTTAGAACTACCCCACAGGGTTTGCAGGGCTGAACAGTTTTACAGAGACAGACTGCTACATTTTTCTTCTGTGGAACAGCTGGAGGCTTCTAACTACTGACCTTTTGTTAGTGGGAGGGCGCTTAATTACAGTGGCAGGAGGACTCCCTCTTTTAGATGGATGTATAAAACAACAAACATCAAATTATACAGAAGTGAAACTTTTCTTATAGCTTACTGCCCCCAATTTTGCTTGTTTTTATCTTATTCTCTACACTGCTTTTATTATTTATAGCAGATATACTTGTGAAACACAATAGGGCCTTTTAATGCATGCTACTTTGTGGCATCCCCCGCCCCTTCACTTAATATGACTTAATTCATTTTTTTAAATTATTTGAAATTTAAAAATTCCCAAGTTGACTTCTTTATATGGTAAACTCACAAGCCATAAAGAAAAAGACTCTTAATTTGACTGCCTAGGACTTACAGTTTACACAACAAAGATACTATAATATAAAACTGGAAGATAATAAAGGCAACATTTATGAGAAAGGACTTTGCTTCCTAATTATGGGACTAAAGTTCCTGTACATTGCTTAAAAAAAACAAAAAACCCCACCCAAAAGAAAAAAAGGGCAATTCACAGAAAGGAAACATGAACAGTGAATACATAGAAGATATCAAACCATTAGCAGCGAGGGAAACGCACGAGTCGCCATTCGCAAACAGTAGAACGGCGACCACACCAGCAAGAGCAGAAGGAAGAAGACCCTCCAACGCTGCTGACAGCTAATGTGGATTGATCCACCTGTGGGAAGGTAATCAGGAGTATTTGATCCATCTATCTCCTTAGCCCACTACTGGGACTCTACCCCACAAAACCCGAGAGCATGACTACTGAAAATATGTCCACAAACATGTTTGCTGCAGCGATATTTAAAAGAGGGGAGCAAACTGGGGGTACCCCACGTGTTGTGTTGACAGGCGATGGCTGTGACAGGGAAAGCATGGGCATTAAAGGAGCAGCCATTAGCTTTGGAACGAGTAACCTAGGGGCATGCACACAATGGATAGCTATGTGAAAAAAAAGCAAGTTGCTGAGTAATTCTATGCTATCATGCCATTAAAGAGAAAACGCAAAACTCTAAAATGTGAGCGTGCATATGTACAATTGCAGGCACACACAGAAAGCCGGTCAAGTCTGGTCTGTGCTTTAGTCTTAAAACAAGGATGTTCAAGAAGCTGCTGGCTGGTGGAGGAATTGAGCTACTTTCAAAGCTAAGGAGCAGCTCAGAAAGATGGTGAAGTTGATGGAGGTGTGACTTAGCATGGCAGAACTACAACATCTTACAGAATACAACGTATCTAAATGTTGAGCTGCTACACTCTGGGCCCAGGGTTTAAAGCCATCAGCCACCCCTCTGGAGAAAGATGAGGCTCTCTGCTCCCATGGAGATTGACAGCCTTGGACACCCCAGTTGAGTCTCTCAGCATTAGAATGGACTCAGTGGCGAAGGACTTGATTTTGGTTGAACACCTGTTTGCCTTGACATTTTGGCTCCTATAGAAAGAACAGGAGATACTGGGAAGAAATACAGACCTGCCAGCGTGAGATACCCGACTGGTGTCCGCCAAGAGCTAGAAACTCTTGGTTCCTCACACCACTCTTTCTCTGGGGATCGGGTGGAAGAGAAAGGCACCTGGACTTCTTACAAAAGCAGATCAAGGCAGAATCGGCTCCATTTCCCCTTTTCATTTGCAAACCTGGTGCCTCTCACAGAGGGAAATGAAGACCCAGACTTAGCCCTGTCACCATCAAATGCCCTCAGGACTGAGCTGTCACGGCTCTGAGTGTAGAACTCTTGGCTCTGGGAGATGTGCTGGTGACAAGAGTGAAGCCACAGGTGCTCCTACTGGGGCTGGGAGGTTGGGCTTTTTAGTTCCAAGAAGTGACTGTAAGCTCTTTTGGGGAAAAAGAGAGCCAAAAGGAGACTAATTTGATATTGACTGTTTCTTGACCTTATATGCAAATATCTCAAAAGGAGCCCTGCTGACATAGTGCGTTATGTGTTTGACCATTACCCACAAGCTCAGCAGTTCAAAACTACCAGCTGCTCCGCAGGAGAAACATGAGGCTTTATACTCCTGTTAGGAATTACCGTCCTCAGAAACCCTTAGTGGGCAGTTCTACCCTGTCCTATAGGGTCGGTACGAGTCGGTATGGATGCGATGGCAGTGAGTGCTGAGCAGAATGGAGGGACTCCTTTCCAGGAGGAGGAAAATACAAAGATGAGGTGCAGTGGCTGTTGCTCCTGACTGCGGAAGAACCAGAGCCGGTGACCTGGCTTCTGTCTGAGAAGCCTCAGCACGTTGTGGCCAGAGAGAAAGAGAGCGAGTGAGGAGAGAGTGCAACTTCTGGCCGTTTGCACAAAACCTCGATCTTCTGCAGGTCAGGGACACCGGGCTGTTTGGCTGGAGGCCCTGGACACAGTCCTACAACCCGAGACTCGGGGGCCAGGGGGCACTCAATTAGGAATAGTTCCCTGTCAATTTCTTTCCTTCATGACTTGTTAGCAAAAATTCAATTACTTCAGTATTTTGGGATTTTTTTTTTTCTTTTGCCAGATAGTAACAGAAGAGCAGGGATCAGAGTAGCGAGCAGGGAAGAGGAAGCGACCACAGGGCATTTTTCCAACCAGCACAGGGAGCTTTGGAATCTGTTCTCAAAACATGCCCAGACGAAAACCTTGCGTGCTTCTTGCCAACCTTGCAGCACCTGAGCAAGTGCATGCGGCGTTGTGAGCATGACTTCACCCCATGTGGCAGTCCTGCTGTCTGGTCTGGTGACTGGGAGAACTGGTCTCCACAACCAGGAGGCGTGGAGATGTTTAATAAGCTCAGCTACAAACCCAAAGTTTGGAAGTCTTGAGTTGCCAGAGGCACTGCAAAAACAAGGCCTGACCACTGCTTCTGCAAATCCAGCCACCGGAAGCCAGATGGAGTACAGCTCTCCTCTGTCCAGGACTCGGGGTCAGCTTGCCGACGCCTGGCTAAACTGCCTTCATGGCCGGAGGGGTGGGGGGCAGTGGGGGTGACAAGGGCACTGGTTGAAGGAGGCCCGGTTGCTTCACGTTTTCCTGCGTTTTGTGTGTAAACAGGCTCGGAGTGGGAGTTTGTGCCCGCACCCCCTGTTCCCAAGGCAGGTCTCAGACCCAGGGAGCAGTCTGACGATGGTTTCTTGTTTACCAAACCTGACACGGACCTCCCTCGGCATGTTTCTGGAGACCTCACGTTGCTGGTGGAGAGGGAAGCCAAGGCTTCTGTTATTTTCTCCAGTCAGTCAGCCAGCCAGCCAGCCAGGTGGGCCTTGCCCCCTGCTCTCCCAGTGATAGTGAGACAAGAAGATCAGTAGAAGGTTTGGACCTATAAAGCAGAGAGCTTTCAGTGTGGACCAGCATGGCCACTCCATCCCACTCCTCACGATGACCACTCAGCGTCTGTGGGGCAGTGATCCGTGATACAGTGATGGGTGACATGGTAGGATGCGTCTGCGCATCCTTGGACCAGGATGGGGGCGGAGCCATGCATCACCTATCTCCTCACAGACACGGGGCAGCGCCAGGGTCATCTGCTGTGAAGGAAAACTTGAAAGGTGCCGGGAAGCACCTGTTCACTCTTATTTCCATCCATCAGTATTCAGGAGATCCTGCATTTTCTGTCACACCGATGGGGTCAACAGCAGGATAGACCACAGACTGCCATCAGGCCCAGGCCGACTCACAGTGACCCAAAAGGACAGGGCAGGATTGCCCCTCTGGGTTTCCAACATGGTACTTCTTCCTAGGAGTGGAAAGTCCCGTCGTGCTCCCATGGAGTGAAGCCAGCTGGTGGTTTCAAACTGCTGACCTTGCAATTAGCCTCCTAACAAATAACCACTATGTGCCACCAGGGTTCCTTTAAGAGCAGGTAAGGGTATAGGTTATGGAAGGAAAGGAGGGAGGTGAGTCGGTGGGCATTTGAAGGACTTGAGCACGCTTTCAAACACCAACACCCACTGCTACGGAGTTGATGTTGACTCATCATCCACTGGGCAGAGTAGAACTGCTCCCTAAGGTGTCCGGACTGCACACCTGAACAGGAGCAGACTAGTCTCATCTTTCTCCCAAGAAGCAGACGGTGGGCTTGAACTGCTGCCCTTGTGATTTGCACCCCAATACTTAGCCCAAAGCACCACCAGGGATCCTTCACATGGGTTAGGCTTTCTCTTCGCCCGCCCCCCTGCCCAGTTAAACGGTTGGAAAATCATCATGAGGTGCACTGTCTCCAAGGGAACGGGAGGCAGTCCTTTGGGCCACCATCTTTCAAGAAGAACCACCTGGGAGAGGCGGGGGCAGGGAGAGGGACATGGTCCACATCAAGGACTGCGAGAGCGGGTCATATGCTTTGAATGTATGTGGATTCCCTACCTCCTGGCCCCTGTCCTGCACAGGACACGACTCACTGTCTGCTTCCGAGAACGATCCGGATTCGTCGCTGGAGTTGGTTCCGTAAGACTGCTCACATTTGATCTGGGGCCGGACTTGGCTATACATTCCATCTGCCATCAGGCCTGGCTCCTGATGTTCAGTGGCCAGGAACCTGGCTCCTTGGGAACAGGGCGAGGAGGAGAACTCGCAGAGCGGAAGGCTGCAGGGCGAGCCCCCGCTCCCGTCCTCCGCGTAGGAGTAGGAGGAGCAGGAGCTGGACGTCCGGGTCCTGGTCTCCAGGGGGGGCGAGCGGGGGCAGACTTTGATTGGCACCGGGCAGCTGGTGTTGGGCCGCACCCTTCCTGGCAGGTGGTCAGCCATCAGTCCCCCGTGGGAGTAGGCCTGGGAGCTGGGGAGGGCCTGGCTGGCTCCCACCCACAGACCCTTTGGCATGGGCTCCGGGAGGTCTTTGTCCGAAGCGCTCGCCCCTGCGGCGTAGGCGTGCACCACCGTGCTCACTTGGTCGCAAGTGCTGGAGGAGAAGATGACGCTTCTCCGGTCCAACTCGCCTTCCTGCTTGCAGAGAGCCTCCAGCCCAGGGCCCTTGAGCGGGGACCCCAGGGAGAAGTTGGCTGCATCCTTCTGGCCCACGTGGGGCTGTCCGTAATTCCCCGCGAACGGGGGGTAGTCCGTTTTAAGGTCACCCTGAGTGATCCCCTTGTCAAAAGGGCACGCTGAACTCCTGGCAAAGTGCTGCTGAGATGTACTGGGCAAGCCAGCCAGCTCTACACCTTTTGTTATACTGAACAGAGACCTTAAACAGGAGGGGGAGGCCGCGCTTCGGGATCTCTCTAGGCAGGCGACCCCGGCAGGGGGGGCGGCAGCGGCGGGGGCGGGACTGGGCTGCTTCGGGTCCATCTCCACGTCCGCTCTGTCCTTGACGTCCGGCTCGTCCCCGGACAGGCAGAGCGTGACACTCTCTTCCTCTGTCCCTTCGCTGGGCGGCTCACTTTTAATGTGCCCCACGGCAAGCCCTGGCTTGAGGCTGTGGCCAGAGTTGTCCTCCCCGAATGTGCTTGCAAAACCTGAGGTACTGTGGGATGATGCACTGTAGACATTCTTGGTGCATGCAAGCTGATACTTCTTGTATCTGGGGTACTGCGTTAACGCGTCCTTCTCGGGGCCCTCCTGCATGTGCGCGGGCACGTCGGACTCGGGCAGCAGGGCTTCCTCCTTCGCCGTCGCCGCCGGGGGCGCGGCGGCAGCAGCAGCGTCAAAGCTCTGGATGGGCTCTGGAAGCATCTGGTCCCTGGGGCAGGACATCCTAGCCGCCTCTGCGTCCATGGTCTCCTCCTCCTCCTCCTCCTCCTCTCCGGCGGAGTCCTCGCGGTCCTCGCGCGGGCGCTGGCACGCCGGCGGCTCCTTCCGGCGCACGAACAGGCCATCCTCGCGGTTCAGGAGCTGGCTCTGCAGGAAGCTGAAGCAGGAGTCCTCCAGATTGTGCATGCGCAGGAACTCGGCGCAGCGGATGACCTCGCGGATGTTCTCCCTGCTGAGCAACAGCTTGGCGGTGTAGGCAAACTGCAGCAGCGGCCCGAAGCCTCTGGCCGTGACCTGCGGAACAAACAGGGAGACGGCCATCAGCACCGCTTTTGTGCCCGTCCCCTCAGCGGAAGCACCCTCCCCAGGCGGCATTACCGGTTCAGGACGAGGCCTGCAAAGGCGCAGTTCATCTCGCCTCCACGCCCGCCCACACAGGGTTAGCAAGGGCTCCGCTCCCTGTCACCCATCACCCGGACCTCTCCTTCCCTCGCACGCGGTTGCCGCACTTTAAGCAGGATTGGAAATCACTGGGGTCAAGTGGCTAAACAAGATGACAGTGGGTTGAGTGTTTACACTAATGAAATATCCTGGCAAAAAGGCACGGTACCAAATGCTAAGTCTATTAATCTGTCTCCCGATTAGCCCTGCTGAGAGCCGAGCCACCGAAGAAGAGCTGGGCCACTTCCCGCCGTTCACTGAAGCCACGGAAAACATTGGAGTTCCCGTGTCAAGGGCAACATGGCCCTGTTAAAAACGGAGCATCCATTTAAAGGCTTACGGAGAGTTCAGCAGCTCTTGTTTTGCTCACTCATCAGGGTGTCTGGTTGGGCCTTCTGGATCATATGTGTCATTCCTGGTCTTTGAGTGACACCAGAGAGGTCGGAGGAAATGAACAGCTGTATTCTGGACAAGAAATGAACTCGTGGTCCATAGAGAATTGGGGGCAGTGGGGGAAACGTGTTTACACCCCCCATGTTCCCCCCAACTGTCATTTAAATTGTAGAAGCTGTAACGTGGCACAGGACACGCACTGCTCCTTCCCAAATGATTCACAGCAGCTTGGCCACGCAGCTGCCTTCTGTTCTGGGAAGTCTTCAGGGACAAAGCCTACTGTCATGTGCTGCTCATCCATTACGTTTTACCCAGATTGAAAATGTGCTCTTTATGGACGGCCTGTGCACATGTGGGTGCGCTCTCGAGCACACACACACACACACACACACACACAGAATGACTTACACAATTAGCAAGCCCTTGCCTAAGGCCAATTGTTTTTCAGATGGATACGGATTAAGCTTGCTGATGTGTTCAGGGTCAGCTTCCTCACCTTGACTGAGAAAAGCCCCTCCCTTCTTTTCTAGGTTCCTGCAAGCTCGGCTGACCCCGCAGGAAGGAGAGGCATGTCTATGAATCGTGAGGGCAAATCATATGAAAAAGGCAATGGTGGGGCCCTTGCTGGGAGCTACTGTGGCAGTGATCAAACATGTCTCCTGGGGGAATGAGTGCAGATGAGATGGGCTGTCAGGCTCTGGCGCTGACTCCAAGTGCATGAAACGCACTGCGGCACAGAAAGCCAGACTCCACTCGGACATCCACTCCAGTCCTCTGAGAGCGAGCGAGCAAATGACCCCATTCCCTCTGAACCTGTGCTTACGAGTGCATGTCCTGGATTTTCCAAGGTGCTGCTGATATTTATATCACTGCATTCTTTCCCGTGAAAGAACTGTCTTCAAAATCTCACAGAATGAGATTTTAATTGCTAATGTTTACGATGTACTTAAAATAAAATGCCAAATGATAAAAATTGTCAGATAAATCCTCAAATACAAACAAATCATTAAAAACAAACAAAAACAAAACATGATTGCTAAATCCATGTCACAGATCTACAAGGGCAATCAATACTAGCTCACTTCTCTTCTGCTTAACTGTGCCCTTTTCTCCACTAGTGAGTAAGCTTCTTTAGGTCAGAAATCAGCTAATTTACTTTTGTATTCCTGCATCTAAGCCAGTGTCTCTATCTAACACGGGAAACACTTGATTAATGTTTGCAGCGGACTGAGTGTCAAAAGCCAAACTGTTCTCCTCACATACAATTACAGTGTAGAAGAGGAGACAAAACTCTTGGTGGTGGGATGTCATTTCAAATTACTTTTTGAGCAAACCAAAAAGCTCAACTCACTGCCATCAAGTTAATGCTGACTCTTCGTGATCCCCTGTGGGTTTAGGAGACTGTAACTGCTAACAGGAGCAGAAAGTCCAGTCTTTCTCCCTCAGACTGGTGGTTTCTGGTGGTTTCAAGCTGCTGATCATGTGGATCGCAGCTCAATACATAACCACTACAACACTGGGGCTCCTTCACTTTTTGA